AATGAGAAGCAACAAAGCAGGGTCAGATGAACCCAGGGACTTTCCCAGCTCATCATTAAACCAAAGTCAGCATTTTCCATTTGTTTTTTACAAGAAAAACCCCATCCCATTAATGCTTTCTAACCTGGCACGAACCCCCGTCGCACTTAATGTCCCATTATTTCCTCCATTCCCCGTCACTGCCTGAGCTGCGGATGAAGAAGGGCCAAACCTCCAGCGGGGATCGATGCAGCTCTTGGCTTGCTGCCGGGAGAAATTATACCCCGAGACACTAAAGCGACCGTGGGCACATGGTTCCATTAAATAGATGCTGTGGATATACTGGTTTGGGTGGTTTTAGTACTGCTAACTTCCACAATAAATTAAAATTTAATTGATAGTCAATAGGTTGCCCCTGCTCGGTTTGCAGCTGGGATCCGACAGAGTTTCTATATTTCCCCAAACAAGACCATAACTTCCTCTGAAATATATTATTATGGAAAAATCCTGATTTTCAGAATGCATGGATGAATTCATCCCAACCATCCCATTCCCAGTGCTGTATTTCTTTCTCTTCCTGGCTTTTGATTTTAGATAGCCCAATGAAGAGTATTTAAACCAAAACCAGGGAATCAGGAGCCATCTGTGCATCCACATGAGGAATAAATATGCCTGTGTATTGTAGGAGAGAGCTTCAACAGGCTCGCTGACCTTAATCCTGTCCCCGTTATTTAATTTTCTCCTCCAGAAATTAATATGGATGTCCCCCAGGCGCAGCCAAAGCACCCAGCGCATCCCATTTCCCTGCCAGACAGAAGTTATTTTTATTTTTATTTTTTTTTAACGTAATCCAGCCAGATGGGTAAACAAGCATAGGGAGCATCGGGGTGGAAATCCTCTTTATGGCCAGATGTGCTCTGCGGTCCAGGGGTGGGAGCATCGCCGGGATGGCTGTGCCTGGCCCAGCTACTTCGGGCATCAAAACCTCGGTAGGGTTTTGGCTATATCGCATGGCTGTGCCAAAATCAGTCTCGGTGCAATTAGTTTCAAGGTTCATTTGCATCTCCCAACCACCACGGAAACATCCCAGGTTGCTCTGGACTCAACCTATTTGTTATAGTCCACCCTAACCCCAAAGGGGTTATAAACTCCCCATCCTGGTCTTTAGGTCTCTACAGCCACACGTACCCTTACCCTCCAAAAAAGGGTGCATGCCAGCTTGGTGTGAGCATTCCATATAATTTTTAATTGCCTTCCGTGGCATTGCCCTCCTATTAAATATCGGGGAACCTCAACACAAAGCACAACTGCTCTGTGCAGGAGCGAGTTTTACTCCTCCGGAGCAAGACAAACTTGGAAGATGGGTTCATCCTTTCCCCTGTAGATATGAGCCTATTTTATTTTCTATCCATCAACCCACAGAGCATCTCTATGTTTCACAGGATAATGGATTTGGTGCAACCACTAAAAGCATCCTTTCCTCACCCAGAGCCTTGACCCCCGAGATTTCCAAACCATCCCTGCCGGTCCCATCAATATTTCTTCAATAAACCAGCCAAGTGCTGCAATTTTCCCAAGTTCCCAAACCAGCCCCAGACCCTGCCGATCCCATTGATGTTTCTTGAATAAACCACCCAGGTGCTGCAGTTTTCCAAGATTTCCAAACCAGCCCCCAAACCCTGCCCATCCCATCGATATTTCTTCAATAACCCATCCGAGCGCTGCGATTTTTGTTCGGTCGCCGGCATTGCTTCCCATCCCCGTATCTGCCGGGAGGGATGATAAGGGGTGAACCCAAATTTTGCGGGATGCCGGCCGCGGTTTTCCCTGGGGAAGGAGGATGGATGCTGGCCAGGCTGTGCAGGGTTGGGCTGCGCAGAAGCCAGCTCCTCCCTCTCGCTATTTATTCCTCTCCGTAGCTCTGCGGCCGAGGCTGAATCACCCCGAACTGAGCGAGCAACGGGCTCCCAGCTGGTGAGTGTCGGGGAAAATGGGATGCAGGGGGGGCTTCGGGTGGGATAAATCCAGAGGTGAGGGGGCTTTTAACACCAAACAGCATCACAGGGGATGGGGGGCTGCCTCCTCTCCCCGCCATCGCTGCCTAAAAATAGATATTTCCAGCTCGGAAGGCGAGCGTCCTCCTTAAAAGACAGAGCTCTGCTTCTCCCCGCTGCTTGTTTATTCAGGGCTGATTCAAAGGCAATCCCGGTGGGAAATTTCTTCCCCCCCTGCCCTGAGCTACCTGGAGGGTTTTGTTCTTTCCCGTGGCTCCCAGCGGCGCAGGACTGTGCTCCCCCATTATTTGGGGGGGGGGATGGGGGGGGGGTGTAAAAAAAAAAAAAATAAAGGCGAGGGGAAGGGAAGGGGATTTCTAAAATCCAGGGGTGGTATTTTCCGAAAACAAACTGCCACACTCCAGCCCTCTTCCCAGATTTTTCACACACCCTCTCCCCCACCCAGGACCAGCATCACCAGGAGGGTCCGGACACCCCCATTCCCGAGCATCTTCCCACCCTCCTCGCCGCATCGCTCCTCCGCCATCCCCTTCCCCACCTCTCTTCACTTCTTCTCTTCCCCCCCCCCCACCCCGGGCACCTTAACAAGGTTATTTCCGCAGTTATTTTGGCATCAGGGTGTTGGCTTTCCTCTCCAAACCCGAAGCCGCCTTCTTGCCAGCCCTGCGCACGTAATTGCTGCTCGCGATCGCTCCTCGCATCCTCCATTTTCCGCTTCCCCCTCTGCCCCGAAGGAGCCGGCGACTTTCCTCCGGTTCTCCAACACCAGCGCGGATATCAATCGCTCCGATATAAATTGCCCGAATTAATCTCTCATTGCCTACCTCTGCCCACAGAGAGGGAAGATTGGGGGAAGGTGGTTAAAAAGAGTCAGGGGAAAAATACCTGCGAAGCCATTCGATAGTATAATTTAATAATAATATCACGATCACGCTGTAAATATTATTTCCAAGCAGAGGGAAGGCAGCTCCGACCCCGGGGACGCGGCTCCTTGGTCCCCATGGCACGCAGGGGGTTTGTGTCCGCAACCGCATTCATTCGGGGCGAAGGTCAGCTGCCCAAGGAGGTCGGTAATTAGCAGCGCAAACGCAAATGAGCCTTTGCCCTGTTTATCACAGCTCGTCTCTGCGAAGGCAATTAGAGAAACAGGTCGGTGCTGCCAGGCTGGAATATCCTCCGGGGCTTTGCCGTAACTTGTTTTCATCCAGGGGTTGATTTTGCCCCCTTTCAATGCGCTGTGGGTAGTCACACGTTCAAAAAATAAAAATAAAAATTGCCAATTTGCTGCTTTTTTTCCCCCCCTATTCATTTTTTTCTTTTTTTTAATTGAGTGCCCGAGGAGCGTTCACCCATCCAAGTCGTTGCCCTGTCTTCCGGCTATTTTTAACCCCCCTGATCTCATCAACGCTGCTGGCGGGTGGATGCTGCTGGGCGAGGGAGGCAGCAAACCCACTCAAAAACGGGCAGTTTACACCCAATTTTTATTTTTTTATTATTTTTTTTTATTTTACAAGATGGTGCCGCACAGGCAGCCGGAGCCTGGCTTTCCTCCCCATGACAAGGGACAGGCTGGGGCATCTCCCCTGCTCTTTTAATTAAGCCTCTTGCTAACGATCTCAACCAAAGCACTGATGTTAAAGGACCTTAATTCAAACGTTTCCGGACAGAAGGCCAGATTTTTGGGCGGGGAGGAAAAAGGATCATTATCTGAACGCTTTTTATGGACCGTAGACACCAAGTTAACATGCAACGGAGGACTATCTGCTTTACACAGGGGTTTGTCCTGCCCGTTTGCGCTCTTAAGGGTAATATCTCACATGAGAGCATCACCTCTTATGTGCATTAAACTTACCTCTGGGTGGAGTGGTGACTCTTAAGGACGCCGGTCCATTAGTTGCTGCTAAAAAACCCCACTCAGGACCCAAACCTTAATTGTTTCTTGCTGTAACGTGAGCCAGCAAGCGCATCCGAAGCAGCCAAGGATGCTGTGAAATGCCCACCTGCACTTTGCCCTCCCCTCCCCACCATCCTGGAATGCACAGGGGGGATTTTTGGGGATGTGGGAAGGGGTTTCCATCCCAGGCAGGATGGAAAAACCCTTCGCTATTGCTGGGCTCGCCTGTTAAACATGAGGGTAACAGTAATTCAGTGCTCCTTGGCGTCGCTGGGAGGCATCTGAAGGGATTTTGCAGCTTGGGAAGTGTTTTCCAAAGGGTTTTCCAAAGGATTTGCAGACCTGGCGTGTATTATACAGGCTGGATTGTACACGGGGAGAGAAACGGCTCGTTAAAAATGGGATTTCATCCTCGCCAGCCCACCAGCTAATGTGGGAGACGCCTGGCATGCCCCTGGGACGCCAGCAGCAAACGCCAGACATCTGCAAACACATTAAACTAGAAAAATGCCGTTTTTCAGTTAAGGCCCGTTGCACGTAAACAGGGACTCGGGCAAAACACACTGAATTTCATTCTTTGAGGGAAAAAAACCCTCCAGGGCAAGGCTGTGCGCTGGCCTCCCTGCAGCCCCGGGTACCCGCAAGCTTTGAGCTTGGGATTAATCTGTTCCTAGCCATCAATCCGTGGACATCATAAATCTCATTTATATCATCTGATTGGATAGAGAAGATTTGATAAGTGGATTTTTACCTCCCAACCAAGTGAAGCATTTTTCCCAAAAGCTTTTCTTCCCCTACTGAAAATTGCCATCACTAGCAGAGGACCTGTTGGAGCGGTGGAGTGTATATATATTAAAAAATATAAATATATAAGAAAATATAAATATATATAAAATATTTTAAAATATATATATAAAAATCTGGGGTTTTGGGGAGGATAAACATGCATTCAAGTCCAAAGCTGTTTATTCTGCAGCTAGATTAAAGGGAATGATATGATTTTTCTATGATGCATAAGTAAGGGAGCCTAAAGCCCGTGATGCTCGTGGTGACACGGACGCAGGGTCTCTGTCTCCTGCCCGTAACGCTGCCTGTCCTTGTGTCCCGCAGCCATGGCCAGGCTCCTCATCACCTGCTGCTTGGTGGCCCTGCTCCTCAGCTTCTGGACCGACGTCGCCTTCTCCAAGAAGGGCAAAGGCAAACCCAGCGGAGGAGGTTGGGGCACGGGGAGCCACCGCCAGCCCAGCTACCCCCGCCAGCCTGGTTACCCCCAAAATCCCGGCTATCCACATAATCCGGGCTACCCCCCACAACCCCGGCTACCCCCACAACCCGGGGTACCCCCACAACCCGGGGTGGGGACAGGGTTACAACCCATCCAGTGGAGGAAGCTACCACAACCAAAAGCCATGGAAACCCCCCAAATCCAAGACCAACTTCAAGCACGTGGCCGGGGCGGCGGCGGCAGGGGCTGGGGTGGGAGGTTTGGGGGGCTACGCCATGGGACGCGTCATGTCAGGGATGCACTATCGCTTCGACAGCCCCGACGAGTACCGATGGTATTGGAAAGCGGCTTATAGGGGGGCCATATGTGGGCGTAGACGGAGCTGGAGACCAAGGTGGTGACGAAGGTGATCCGGGAGATGTGCATCCAGCAGTACCGCGAGTACCGCTTGGCCTCCGGCATCCGGCTGCACCTCGCCGACGCCACCCTCGCTGCCCTCCTCCTCCTCACCCTCTTCGCCATGCACTGATGCGCCCCGCATCCCGCAGCTTTGGGATGTCACCCGTGTCCCCGTGGGGACCACCCCAACTGTCCCCTCCCCGTTCTTGCTTGCGGTCGTCTTTGGTGAAGAGCCCTTGGGGCGCACGGGCACCGACGCTCCCCATCACCTCCCCGGAGGCTCCGGTTTAGGCAACTGGATGAAAATTTCCTTCTCCACCCCAAAGGCATCCCCAGCGTGGCAGGACAGCGACGGAGCTGGATGCCCCCCCAAAAAATGGCCTTCACCACCTCCTCCTCGGGGCCACCCCGAGAGGGACCGGGCAGAGAGGAGCTCACCCGCTCCTTGCCATCCCTGCAAGAGCGTTCCGAAAATCATCTTTGCTAACAAGCAAGGTTTTACCTAATCCCTTTAGTTCCACTGCCACCACCACCCCTTTCCCCGGGCACGCCGCGGCGTTGCCCCCGAGCACCATTGGGGTTTTAGGAGGGTGAAATATGGGTTTTTTCAAGCAACAAGCTACCGGGTTGCAATTTTAACCCTTTAAGCCTAAACTCCACCCTTCCTCCTGTACATATGGACCTGCCTGCTCCGCACCTTGCATGCTGCAAATACCTCCTGCAGCAATACACAAAAATAAAGTGTTTTTTTTTTTTTTCACCCCCCCAGCAGCGAGGCTGAATCCCCGGCCGGGTTTCAGTCGACCCCCTGCGCCGCTTTGCTTTTGGTTGAGCCTCACTGTCTTTATTAGCCTGTCTAAAGGCAAAAAGTGCTGCTGAATGCTCCCCAAAAACCCCGAAGCGGGAACGCTTGGTGTGTTACAGCCCGAGAAAAAGCTATTTTGGATATGCTAGAGGTGACAAGTCACGCTCATGCTTCATCACCTTGACCTGAAGGACCTTGAAATACAGCAAAAAAGATGCTCGGGGGGGGTCAAGCACGTAGCAAGAGACTTAAATCAGCTAAATTAGATGGTTAGAGCAAACAGCATCAGGAAAACCAAGCCCGAGGGATGGGAGACGCTTAAAAAAACCCCCACTTTTTGCGAGTAATTTGTGGAAGCAGGGGGTGAAATTTTTGCTTCTCGTGTTTGGGTGGATGCTGGGTTGTGTATAACCTGTAGCATCTGTCAAGTTGCACTTGTCAAACCAGTCGCCCGAGTTATATTTAATATCTCTCCTGTATTTCTTTTTTTTTTTTTTTTTGCGAGGCACTGAATGACACCGTCCTAAATGATTTTTCGCATCGGTGTAAGCTAAGTGAAGAGATAGATATATATATATATTTAAAAAAAAATATAGATAAATCTTTCAGGATATTCACCAGAAAAGCAGGGCTTTGAGGTAACCCGTACTTTGTGATACGCGAATGTTTTGTAAATCCGTAACGGTGCATGCACGAAATTTGCCGTTCTGATACTTTTCTAAGTGTTCGACGTCTGGTACAAATTAAACTGGATAAAGCCAAGATGCACATCAGCCTCCTTCATGCAAACAGCTCTCGCCCATCCCCGCAGTGCCGCGGACAGAAGCGGCATTTTTCGCCCTGGCTGTCCCTGCCTCCCCAGCCTGTGGGCGCCTTTGTTCCCTTTCAGAGCTATATTTGGCCTTAAAACCCACAATTTCAGTTAACCTTTTCTCCACCCCTGTTCCCGCTAACGGTCTCGCTACCATCCAACAAATATTTTCTAATAAAGCCAACGCGCTGGTTGGGGCCGGGGATTTCTTCTCCCCGTAGATATTTAGCACCCATTTATACCTTGTGTTAACTCCATCTATTTTCTGCCTAATAAAAGAGTTTTTACATTTGCTGTTTCAGTGGCGTTAAGCCCAACCAACTTCCCGGGAAGTCCCAAGCCCTACTTATGGTTGCCAGAATTCCAAGTCTCCCCGGTACCTAAACCGGCATCACCGTTAGATGACTTAGACTAAAGCAAGGGTTAAGAAAAATGACAATTAAAAAAGGTGGAAGAGTTTGGACCCTTCAGCTGGACGGTGCTTTCATTTTAAGCTTAAGATCAAACCAGTTTGGTTTGAGCCGGCGCAGGATGCGATTTATTGCGCTGCAAACCCCCTTGCCCACAAGGATGCTAAAGAATTGGGTCTTTAACTGGTGCTTCCAGTAAACCAGGTAAACCCCAAATGTGCCTCTTTTTTCATAATTTTGGCAGAAAAAGAAAGAAAAAAAGCCCAATTCAGCACTAGATAGATGATTATTTCTGCGTGCAAGCAGCTTGGTCCCAAAGAGGAAACCCTAAGAAGTCCATAGCAGGGATCCAGAGCTCCCATAGGTGCTCAAAAAGAGCAAAATAAAAGATTTTTTTTTTTTGCTTGATAATTGGCTACTGGGCATCACGATGTTAGCTCTGAATATTGGTAAGTGGAGCAGCAAGCGGGGAGTGGGGCAAAAAAAATAGATGGCAGGCAGGGTTTAGTGTTGGGAGTTAGTTTCCAAAACGAGGAAAATAAAAATAAGATGTCAGGATCCCACACTTCACATCTTCCCTGTGCAAAAGCAAGTTAAAAAATGGTGATGGAAAGGAGGATTTGGGGAATAAAAAGCCCCTGTGAAGTGACTGGGTCTGTCCTGAGCATCCCTACGGCCTCTGCTCATCCTACACCAAGTCAGCTGCATCCCAAAAGCTCTCCAGCTCCAAACTTTACTGGGACATTTTATGTAGGATTTTATTTTGCCCTAAATATTCACAACTGAATAGCCCAGACTTTTTCCCCGTGTCATTTAAAGGTGGGGGACAACTAAATGTGGGACCTCAAAGCCCCCAGTTCTGCTTCCCTTAGGGTTGGACTAGATGATCTCCAGAGGTCCCTTCCAACCCTAACAATTCTGTGTGTGTGAAAACTGCTTCACTGGTCCCCAAGCTGCAGGGGGGACACCGCTGATCAGCGCCGCGGGGAGGTTTATACAACCCGTCTTATTATTGTAAGATTTTTCAAGGTAAAACGAGAGCGATTTCAAATTTAAGATAAAAGAGAAAGAGGTAGCAATGAAGATGTGGTCCTTCAGCGATGGGCTCGGAGGACCCGTCTCCTGATAGACCTCACACTGGTGAGCTGCAGCTCAGGGGTAGGAGGAAAAAAAAAACCCAAAGAAGGAACCTCCCCAAAAAAGAAGGGGGAATAAACACCAGAGAAGGAAGGGAGGGGAACACCAAAGAAGGGGAAATAAAACACCAAAGAAGGGGGGAAAAAAAAAAAAAGCCCACCCAAAGAAGGGGTGAAAAACACCCACCCAAAGAAGGGGGGAAAAGAAATAATTCAAAAAAGGGAAAAAAAAATAACCCGAAAGAAGGAAAAAAAAAATAACCCCAAAGAACGGAAAAAAAACCCAAACCAAACAAATCAAAGAAGGGGGGAAAAAAAACCCAAAGAAGGGGGGAAAAAAAACCCAAAGAAGGGGGGAAAAAAAACCCAAAGAAGGGGGGAAAAAAAAACCAAAGAAGGGGGGAAAAAAAAACAAGAAAGGGGGGCAAAAAAGGGAAAAAAGAAACAAAGAAGGGGGGGAAAAAACAAAGAAGGGGGGAAAAAAAAAACAAAGAAGGGGGGGAAAAAACAAAGAAGGGGGAAAAAAAAAACAAAGAAGGGGGGAAAAAAACAAAGAAGGGGGGAAAACCACCCACCCAAAGAAGGGGGGAAAAGAAATAATTCAAAAAAGGGGGAAAAAAAATAACCCCAAAGAAGGGGAAAAAAAATAACCCCAAAGAAGGAGGAAAAAAAAATAACCCCAAAGAAGGGGGAAAAAAAAAATAACCCCAAAGAAGGGGGGAAAAAAAAAACCCCAAAGAAGGGGGAAAAAAAAAATAACCCCAATCAAACCAAAGAGGGGGGGAAAAAAACCAAAGAAGGGGAAAAAAAAACCAAAGAAGGGGAAAAAAAAAACCAAAGAAGGGGAAAAAAAAAACCACAAAGAAGGGAAAAAAACCTCCAACAAAACCAAGAAAGAAAAAAAACCCACAAAGCAGGAAAATCCCCCTTCCCCCTCAAAAAAAGGAAGAAAAACAACCCATAAAGAAGGAAGAACCCCCCCTATTTTCCGAGGTGAGCACACGGCTACTGCCGGGAAGGGGCAGCGCCCGCACAGGAAACTCCCCCGGACGGGGTTCAACCTCAGCACGCCCCGATACAAAAGGCTAATTTTTAGCCCCCAAAAAAACCCATTTTCTCTGCCCCTCACCCCAGCACGGGGCAGCTGCTCCCACCCCCCGAGACGGGGAAACACCACTGTCCGCACCACTCAGCTGAGCTCAAAAAAATCCCATTTTCACCCCCTCTGTGCGCACAACACCCAATTTTTTAATTATTTTTTTTTTCCACCAGTTTGGGGTCCTGTGGGGGCGATTGGGGTTTATGGTGATTTTTGGAGCTCTCTCTGTGGGGTCAGTGGGGAATATCGGAGTTTTCCTGGCTCCGGGAACACTCCAGCAGGACACGGGGACATGGCCCGAGCCCTCATGAGCATCAAGGACACGGTTCCAATAACCCTGGACCCCTTAGGAGTGGTCTGTTGCACTAAATAAATCAATTACTCTGGTTTAATTAGCTAAATACTCCATATCCTGCTGGGTGGGCAGGAGCCTTGCTGCCGGGAGAGGACGGGGAGCGTTTCAGATTTACCAGGCTGATAATAAATACACCCCAAAGCATAAATGTAATCATTTTGGGGGTTCGGGTGTTTTTTTTTTTTTATGGTTTTCTCCAAATCGCCTGTCCCAGGGTGCTTTGCATCCCCCATCTCCATAAATAAGCATCCCCCATCTCCATAAATAAGCATCCCCCCCCACACACAGGCAGAGCATCCCAAGATATTTTTCTTGCCTGGAAAAAAAACCTGCAAAAAGAGGATTTTTTGGTGCATGGTTGGACACTTTGCAGAGAGCTGGAGGAGAAATCGTCTCATTTGGAGGCTTAAAATGCAAAGTAAGCGCTCAGATCTCCTCCAGGGGTGATTTTATTCGCGCATTCGATGCAGTGTGTGTGTGTGTGGGGTGGATGAGAGACGCAGCGCTGAGCGAA